GAGCTAAACGGACAATTCTCAAAGGAAGAATTTCAAATGTCCAAAAGACATTTAAGGAATTGCTCAGCATCCTTAGTCATCAGGGAGATGCAAATCAAAATGACTCTGAGATACCATCTTACACCTGTCAGAATGGCTAAGCTCAAAAGCACTGAAGACAGCTTATGTTGGAGAGGATGTGGAGCAAGGGGAACATTCCTCCACTGTTGGTGGGAGTGCAAACTTGTACAGCCACTTTGGAAATCAGTGTGGCCGTTTCTCAGAAAATTGGGAATCTATCTTCTCAAGACCCAGCTATACCACTCTTGGGCATATACCCAAAGAATGCTCAATCATACCACAGGGACACATGCTCAACTATGTTCATAGCAGCATTATTCATAATAGCCAGAACCTGGAAACAACGTAGATGCCCCTCAACTGAAGAATGGATTAAGAAAATGTGGTACATACACACAATGGAGTACTACTCAGCAGAGAAAAACAATGGCATCATGAAATTTGCAGGCAAATGGAACTAGAAAATATCACCCTGAGTGAGGTAACCCACACTCAGAAGGATAAACATGGTATGTACCCACTCATAAGTGGATACTAGATGTAAAGCAAAGGATAACCAGACTGCAAACCACAGCTCCAGGGAGGCTAGCTAACAAGGAAGACCCAAAGACGGATGCATGGATTGCCCTGGGAAGGGGAAATAGAGCTTTTCTCCAATGACTGATGGAAGCAGATGCAGAAATCCATAGCCAAACACCAGGCAGAGCTCCAGGAGTCCAGTCAAAGAGAGAAAAGAGGGATTCTATGAGCAAGTGCATCAGGATCATAATGGGGAAACCTGCAGAGACAACCAAACCAAACTAGTATAACTCATGAAAGTTGGATCAATGGCTGTGGAGCCTGCACTCTGCATGGCGAAACAATTGTGTAGCTTGATCTGCTTGGGGGCCCCCTGGTGGTAGAAATTTTTGGAGCCCCCTACCTATGATTGGACACCTGGTGCAGCCTTGAGGCAGGGGGAAAGGCTTGGACTTGCCTTTACTGGAGGTGCCTCCCCATGGGAGGCCTTGCCTTCTTGTCGGGGGTAGTGAGAAGTAGGTTGGGAGGGGGAGCCTGGGGGGTGGGAAGAGGGAAGAAGGGGATCTTTGACTGGTGTGTAAAATGAATGAAAAATTTTTCTTAATAAAAAGAACAAGCACAAAGCCTGGAGCTATAGCTCAGTGGCCCAATACTTGCTCAGAGGCCCCAGGTTCAAGGCCTGGTATTGCCCAAAGAAGACTTAGAACACACTTCTTATTGTGACCCTCCCTTTTAGACTTGGAGAGCACCTTATAGTGGGATCCAGGACTCCCTGACCCCAGGCCTCTGAAAGCCTCACAGGAGGTCCAAGGTAACTCCCCAACTGCCTGTGCTCAGCAGTGACCCCTTCTCAGATGCTGGTAGCAATGTAAAGTGGCACCCAGTTAGAAAGCAAAGAATAAGTGTGAAAGTACAATGTGACCAGCAGCCCCACTGCAGCTGGCCTCCCTCAGAAACAAAGGTGCCACACCTGGATGCACCGGAAGGCTGACAAGCTGCAGTCACAATGGAACAGGTGCAGAGCCACCATCTGGCCAGTGGCCACCATCTGGCCAGTGGCCACCATCTGGCCAGTGGCCACCATCTGGCCAGTGGCATGCAGCACACACAGGCTAAATGCACTGGAGTAAAACTGAATGCAGTAGAGCTGGGCATGGTACATACCTGCAATCCCAACACTTGAGGGGCTAAAGCGCAAGGATTGCCATGAGTCCCTGGCCAGCATACATAAACCATCTTGGAAAAAAAGGACATTTCCCAGCAGCTTCAGCAGAAGGGTGGGGGGTAGAGACCAGTCCTGAACCTGGGGTAGGGTCAGTTGGCACTCAGGGGCTTCCACATCCTACAGAAGTTTCAATTGAAGCAATGGGCCCAGGGTAGAGACCGGGTTTGACTCTTTTAGGTCCACATGGACAAGAGAAGTTCCAGGTCTTTCTGTGGCTTTGGCAGAAGTTGCAGACCCAGAGTGTGAGAATTCTTCACAGGGAGCCTGTACACCCAGGCAGAAGGCCCACGTTGACACTGGAGGAAAGCCTGAGATAGAGCCCTCAGTCTTAAGCACCAGTCCCTGTCGGGAGCCATACAAGGGAAACAAGAGGCAGCTTCGAGGTTTGGCAGTCAGCAAAGCTTCCTCAGATGAGCAAGCCTTGGAGAGGCCGACCCAGGGACTCCATGTCCTGAGGCCCTCAGCTGTTATTTGAGCATAGATCTGCCTACTGCCCTCACAGTCACCATGTCCCTCATGATCTGAGTTGTAAGAAAACTCTAGAGGCTTCTAGCCCCTCACTGGGCAGTGTCACTGGTACTTAACAATAGTAGTGACTGACTTTTCCAGGCATTGCTGCTGCAGATTAATGATTCAACCACCACCCTTAGAATTTAGACATGTAGATCGTTAGGTTAAGAGGTTTTTGTTAATGGCTTTGAGGTGGAAAACCTTGGGGAACAATTTAAAGTTTAAAACAATGGCAGCCTGGCTATTGCTGGCTGATGTACCTTTCTTGCTAGTATAGGTTGGTGATCAAAGGCAATGATTAATTCCTTGTACCCATTTCTGCCCTCAGCTTCCTAATATGATTTAATAAAAAAAACTGTTGAGCGGGTGTATACCCTGAGGATTTAGAGATGACTGTTTTTCATATATAAAAGTTCAGATTTGTCCCAGCACTCGGGAGGCAGAGGCAGGCGGATCTCTGTGAGTTCGAGGCCAGCCTGGTCTCCAAAGCGAGTTCCAGGAAAGGTGCAAAACTACACAGAGAAACCCTGTCTCGAAAAAACAAAAAAACAAAAAGTTCAGATTTGTGGGTTTTTTTTTTATAAGATTACATTTTGAGATAATTACCTTTTAAGATAGTAAAATGATTGATCCTTTGTAACCGCAAAATGCTGCCTGCCAGTAAAAACTGGCTGAGAAAAGTCCCTTCCTTGCTTACACCTTGTTAATCTACAACAGGTTGCTTGGTCATGAATGTATGTGGGTTCTTGGGGATAATTTGTTTTTCACCTGTTTAATTATGTAAGTGATATGGGGAACATGCCACTTTTTACTGTAATTCATTGTAATCATCCACTTAAAAAATATAACATAACTACACTGTAATTTTTATACTGCATGAAAGATTTTGCTGGGCTATTCAAGCTGTAAGTTCAAAATAAAGACCAGAGAATATAATGGTAGAAAAACAGATCAGAGACAGAACTGAGTAGAACAAAGAACAGAATGAAGAACTAAGCTTTGACCCTCAGAAAAGTCCTCCTGTATCTGTCTGTCTGTCCAGTAGTTCATCTGCTCTGCATCTCCTCTTCAGTTTCTCTGACCTCAAGGTTCGCCATTCATCAGCACCCTAGGTGAGATCCTGTCATGCTGGAGGGTGAGTGTGTGTGTTTTTCCCTTTTCCGCCAGTCCCAGAGAACTAAGTTTTACTCCCTCAGATAGAAAAGTCAATTGAGTGATTAGTCCACCATCTCTGAGGCTCCCCTTCAATTCCTGAGCTGCTGAGGGCTGGTGCCTACAGCAGCAAGTCCCAGAGAAGTGCACCTCCACATGGACTTAGACCTCCACTGAACACTACAATCGCCACTGGGACCTGAATTTAAGTAATAAAAAATACAAAAGAAAAAATGCAACCAGAAAACTATTATCAGGTGCTTAAGTTTCAGTGAAAAACCAAGACCTGTCTCCTCCACAATCACTAATCCTACAATAAGGCTCCCAATGAGAACCTAGAAGAAGTAAACAATCTAAAAGAATGACTCTGTGTATGTCCAAACTAAAGACATGAATGTGCTCTCAGGAAACAAAAAAGAGACAAATGTAATAAGGATGTCAACCCAAGATATAAAAACACAATTCAACAAAGGCTAGAGTTGCTGAAGAAAATCCAAATTGAAACGATGTTGAAAATGAAAATCTTGGGCTGGAGAGATGGCTCAGCCATTAATAAAGGCTAGGTTCACAACCAAAAATGTAAGAGTTCAGTTCCCAGCACCCACAGCTGTCCTTCCAGCTACTAAAAAGAAAAAAAAAAAAAAAAAGAAAGAAAGAAAAAAGTAAAGAAAATGAAAATCTCAATAAGCCAAATGAAAACAAGGATGTTTTTCTAGAGCAGCATAAAGAAACTACAAGCAGGACCATGATTCCGGGTTAGCTCACTTCATGAGGTCCAGAAGCCCAGACCCCTCTCCTCAGACTTCTTAGGCCCACCTCTTGACAATGCCTATTCTCACCACCAATCCAAACAGGAGGCCCCAGGGACACAGCCACCCCTTATCTGCAGACTACTCTTTGAGGATCTCTTCCATTCTGGACAGGATCTCTGGTGCTTACATGGGACAAGATAGCAGGGTGTGTTCCCCAAGTGTTTGCCAGGGGCCAGGAGGGTGCTCATGAAGCCATTGCTCACCAAGATCCAGCTGTGCTGCCATCTTATAACAAAGGTTGGAACACAGGGCCTCCAGCACACTGGGCAGCTATCACACCCCAGTTCTATCACCACAATTTGGTTTTGTCAGGATCCCTGTAACCCTGGCTGGCCTCTAACTCACAAGAGATCCACCTGCCTCTGCCTCCTGAGTGCTGGGATTAAAGGTGTGTGCCACCACTGCCTGGCAGTTTCAATTTTTATATACTCTCCCTCAAGACCCCTACTCAAAACATATTTACCCATCACAGTGGGCAGAAGTACTTGTCATGCAAGCCTGGTGACCTGAACTTGATCCCCAGAACCACATCAAAATGGAGAGAGAACCAACTCCAACGTTGTTTTCTGTCCTCTGTACATGCATCCTGACAACATACACTTCATACACAGTAATACAACTAGCAAAAAAAACTTAACTCTCTTTACTCCACTATGAGAAACCTAGCATCTCAATTCAGATACTTTCATTTAATGATTATCAAAGAATGAAACACACAGACATCACGTAAACAGGTCATTTATTAGCATGGACCTTTGGACACAGCGGCTTCTAGCATGCCGAGTGAGGGGAGGGAGCTGGCAAGCAGCAGGTCTCACTTCTTCCACTCATTCTTGTTGTAGTCCCACTTGGCAGAGAAGCCCAGAATGGGGTTGGTCTTCATGTCCAGCATCCGCTTGGTCTGCATGGCCACCCAGTCACGATCAAAGGTATGAGGGATAGGGCCATACACTGTGGTGCAAAATGATTAGGTGAGGCAGGGTGTCCTGCTTCGACGACACAGCTCAAGCCAAGCCACCTGCCTCCCAACCCCACTCACACACAGGCTTTTATCCAGGGCACTGATAATTCCTATCTCAGAACCATCCCTTGCTTGTGAAAGGTCAGTAGGGAAGTCATTAGGTATGTAGCTGGGCATCTTCCTTCCAGCTGCCAGTGGCAGCCTCTGCAGGCTGGCCCAGCACGCAGCCAGGGGGTGCCACTCAGAGAGCTGGCACCTGTTACTAATCTGCAACCATTTTACTAGGGTGGGCCTGCCCAGAATGCAACACGACCTGACCCAGAAAGAATTCATGTTGGAGAGCAGGCAAGCCCAATAATGTCCAAATAGTATGGAAAAGGCTTAAGGTGCCCAGACTCCAGATGTTCAGGTACAGCCAAGCCATGCAGCAAATGGGACCCTCCTAGCTCACAACACTATGGTTTATTAAGCAGATCCAGTGCTACTCAACATGGCATGCTGTACAAAGCAAACCTACCTTGCCCTGCCACAAGGATGGCTGGCCATGCAAAAGGCAAGCTCTAGCTTATAACTGTTCCCTTGATTACAGTTTCTCTAGCCATTCTGGGCCTGGAGGCCATGTGAGGCCCTCAAAGCACCAAAGCTGTCCTGGACCACTCCTTCTCCCTCTCCACTTACCATAGCGCTTCTCCCAAATCAGAATGAGGGAAGTGAAGCCGATGAAGAACATGGCCAGGCCCACAACTGTCTTCCATTCATTGGTGCCCCTGTTCATCTCAGCAAAGCTCTCATTAAACTGGATGCGGTACACTGAACAGAAATATATATATGCAAGGTAAAGAACTTGCAAAGGACTCAACCCCTTTCCCAAGACAACCCATCCCAGGGACAGCACAGGCTAGGCCAGGACACACAAGTGTGCACAAACCTGCCCTCCCACACATACAGGAGAGAAAACGCAGAGCTGACTGCATGCAAAGATCTCTGGATGTGAGGTCAGCCTGGCTCTTCTGTGCTGCTTTCACACCACATGGTGCATATTTAACTGATCTTTCAGCAAAGCTGCACTGAGCATGTGTGCGAGACGCTGTAATCTCCATGCTCTGTTCCTCACTAGGGCTAAGCCAGCAGCATCTACAGGAATGCCCAGAAACTCAGGAAGGAAATCTGCTCTAGCACAAGTAATTCATTCTCTCATTCTCTCTCTCTCTCTCTCTCTCTCTCTCTCTCTCTCTCTCTCTCTCTCTCTCACACACACACACACACACACACACACACACACACACACACACACCCCTAAACACACTACTGAGTTTTTGTGCACACTCTGATACTCACATTGGACTTTCTCATCCCTGGACAGACTGCTCCAGTCTGCCTTCTCCTTCTCCTTCAGAGCCTTCTGGCTAGCAGACAGCAGCCTGACATGGGCCACATCAGGCAAGGGATAGTCACGCCGATCGACATAAATAGGGAGAGAATAGTCTTCACTCTTCACAACACTCCCTAAAACACAGTGGATAAAGCTGAAAATGCCTGCAGGTAGGAATCCAGGCAGACGGGTGATAGCAGTCAACAGTTAAATGGAAGCCCCTGATCTAACCAAACCCTCAGGTTCACAGTCACCAGAAGTGGGACCAGGGCTGAGGGTTATTTGCTGGACAGGCAACCGGACTAAACGAAGTCCCAACTGCAAGGACTCATGTTCAGAACATGAAACTCAAAAAGGGAAAGGTGGCTGCTGCAGGGTACAGTGATGGGCCACTGAGACTCCCAGAGGCCAACTCAGAAACTGTTGACCTCACACAGAAGCTATCAATCACGGAGCCACCTACTCATTTGTTTATTAAGGACTGTTCACCTACTGTTCACCAAGGCTGGCTCTATACATATGGGATTGTCAGTAAACAACTGAGCACTCCTACCTACCCCCATGGGCTCACATTCTATAAGTGAGAAACAGGCAAGACATAACATATGGGGCCACATGCTAGGAATACCCATGTGGCAGGAGGCAGATCCTGAACATGCCAGGAGGTGGCCCTGGGAACTCCAAGGGAAGAATGATGTGCTCAAAAAGCAGAGCCAGATCAGTTCGGTTCTGCTTTCCTTCGAATGTACACTAACTCCACACTCAAGGACAGGCAAGTCCAAACTGAGCCATGGAAAGAGCCAGAGCTGAGTGGGGGCTCTTGCTGTTCCACTGACATATGAGTATGCACGTGGGCGTCACACAGGACACACCAGGACAAAGCTCAGGCCACAGGAAACCAAGTCGGATTGCCCACCCCCCTCCCCCCAGGGTTTCCTATAGCTAAAAGCTCTAACTCTGCCCCACCGGTCCATAGGGACAAAGCCTTGCAGAAATGCTTTGCCCCCATAAGCTCAGCCCATGGATAAATCTCTCAAGTCATGTTGGTAAAGAACACTATGCCTTAAGCAAGGCTGTGATCCTTCCAGGTGTTTATTTGGTGCACAAATGATGAGTAAGTCTCCCTTCTTCTGTTCAACCTCATCCCAACAGAAGCTGAACCAAAACAGACAGAATTACTTTTCCATTTTAACTTTTAGCATCCCATAAAGCTAGGCATGACAGCACATGCCTATAATCTAAGCACAGGCATGCTGAGGCAGGAGGATCTCAAGTTCAAGACCTGACTGAACTACACAGGGAAACACTGTCTCAAAACACAGGGGAAAAGGATCAGAAAAAGAATGTTGGCTACTGAACATTCTTACCAAGTTCAACACACACCCCTCCCCACCCCTATTTCTCCAGGCATAAAACACTTAAGATTACAGGTTATTCAAGTAGATGTAAACTGGAATGAGAATGTTCTAGAACCAATCAACCATGGTGATAATAGAACATACCAACGACTGTACTAAAACAATGATAAGTGTGCAATTTAAGTGAATCACTGTATTGTGTGGATTACAGCTCAGCTATTAGATTGCTATAAACTCTCTTGGTCTTAGAACACACTAGCCATAAAACGGCATATTCTAGACCAAGCTTGGTTAATTTATTTTCTAGTACACTTCAGAGCTTTGTGCTTGTCCTTGGGATCAGAGGAAAGCAAAGGCTCACAAGCCAAACACTCTTCTTTTGAAAGGGGCAGGGGACCCAGAGCCCACAGCCCACTTCCTCCTAGCTGCAGCCACTTGTGCAGGACCAAGTTCCACCATGCCCAAGTGTTCCAAGTGTGACAAGGAGGTGTACTTTGCTGAGTGAATGACCTCACTAGGTAAATATTGGCATCATCCCCACCTAAAGCGTGAGAAATGTGCAAAGACACTGACCTCTGAGGCTACGCCAAGCATGAAGGCAAGCCCTACCACAACCATCCCTGCTACTCAGTCATGTTTGGGCCTAAAGGCTGTGGGTGAGGTAGAGCTGACAGACTTCCTTTCAAGTAGACCCAGGCTGTGGAAACCCTCCCGGCCTGCCTAGGCACATGCCAGGCCTTACCCTTGGACATTAGCAGTTCTCAGTGGCCCTTCATGCCCCTAATAAACCTGAATCTTTGGGGGGAAATTGAAAAACAACAATAAGGGGGCTGGAGAGGTGGCTCAGTGCTTAAGAGCACTGGCAGCTCTTCCAGAGGTCCTGAGTTCAATTCCCAGCACCCACATGGTGGCTCACAACCATCCGTAATGAGATCTAGTACCCTCTTCTGGCCTGCAGGCATATATACAGGCAGAACATTGTATACATAATAAGTAAATAAATCTTTAAAAAAAAAAAAAAAACAATAAAAGGGAGACAAAAGCAAAGACTTTGCATTCACTAAGGTCACTTCTGTTCTCAACCAAGATGAGTTTTAACCCAGCTTGTCAGACCTGTTAGGTCTCAGCTCCCTTCCATGTTACACTATTAATATCTCAACTGACCACAGTGCCCCAGTGGAGTTCCACAGTACCCTAATCCTGTAAGCATGTGTTACCCATTGAGGACTCCTGGGACTTATTAGAGACACCAGAGATTTCAGTTCTTCATTTGCTGGCCAGACTAATCAAAAATGACAGCCAAGCCAAACTGGAAACTGGTCCGTCACTGATGTCTATGCTTGGAGATGGAGCATGTCTTTCCGTGTGCGTTAATAAAGGGAGGGGCTTTCCTTTCCCAAACACCTTTCGATAACAATGTCTCAACCTGCCCCCCTGGGGAGTGGGCAGACACAGAACACCATCACTACTGCAAGATGGCTTTACTGACACACCCACACTGTAAGGCAGCTGCAAGAAGAACGCATGTTGGTGTCTGGGCCTTGCTCTCCATCTTCGCATCTACAACCCAAGTCTCACACTTTAGACTGCTAGCCCTTCAGCAGCAAGACCTCTCTTCTCAAAGCCTTTCCTGAGTGCTAGCCAGGCTAAACAGTCCACTTCTGGGACTATCACTGTCTTAACACTGCTTTCACCTTAGGAGCCCACTCCACACTGCAAGCTCCCCGGAGAAGGTCCACCTCTCACATTTATTCTCAGTACCTGACACTGGTACAAAGAACATGCTTCATAAATGCAAAGCTAAAATGGTGACAAGCCAGGCTCAGAACTAAAAATTGTGTGTCTGTACATTCCAGGTGAGAAAGCAGATTCCTAGACTTCAGGAGCCAGTCCATGATTGAAATGAAATTCAAATACAGTTCAGACCCAAGCCCACCACCCTTTGCTTCCATTGTTTTTGTGACGTCAACAGGAGGGGGCTTAGTTAAGTTTAGAGCAGGAAAAAGATTCAAGTCAAACATGGAGAAGCTCTCTAGAAGAGGCAGTACTTTACAGGTATAGTAGTGTATCTTTAACCCAGCACTCAGAAGGCAGAGGTAGGAACCCTGTGAGTTCAAGGCCAGCTAGAGCTACATAGTAAGACAGGGAAGAAGGGAGGGAGGGAGGGAGGGAGGGAAGGAGGAAAGGAGGAAGGGGACTAGAAAAAAAATATGAGGGAAATAACAGCAAGCAAAGACCCAGACTAATAGGATTCATCCATGCTCAGACAAATGCCCTGCTCAAATTCTTATCTCTCCCTAAAATCCCTACAAGGTCAAACTGCATCTTTGTTTAAAACCCCAACACAGGGTCTTAGACATAGGAGCAAAATGACATTAAGTTGGCCTATTTGAAAGTAAAAGTCCTTAGCCATGCATGGTGGTGCACGCCTTTAATCCCAGCACTTGGGAGGCAGAGGCATGAGTTTGAGGCCAGCCTGGGCTACACAGAAATCCTGTCTTGAAAAACAAAAACAAACAAACAAAAGGACAGACAGAAAGAAAAGAAAGCAAAAATCTCACTTCACTTACCATGTGCTCGAACACACACTGAAGTGGAAATGGCTCTTTTGCCAATTAGGCTAAGCGCCCTAGTAGCCAACATTCTGAAAGACAAAAATACACACTTCTAACAATGAGAGAAAACACCTTTTAGTGTTTCTTCTTGCCACAGAGCATTCAGGAGGTATATGCAACTCACTCCTCCAACGTTAGATGATTTTTTTTGTTGTTATGATTTCGTCAGATGTTTAAGGCATAGGCTGGCCTGCAGCTTGCACTCTATCTTCCTCTACTCCGTTAGAGCTAGCATTACAGGCCAGCAGCATGTGCCCAGGATCCGTTTTTATAACTGATGCCAATGCATGAAGTAATGCAAGATGGGGTGGTTTTTACAAAGCGTCCTGGTATCAAACCAAGGGCTGTAATATACACAGCTCAATTAATAGAAAACTCGGCTTCTTAAAAAAAACAACTGGGGGGAGGGGGAAGACAATTAGAAAGAAAAATTACTAAAATGGCTAGAACTCGGCAGAGCACGGTGCAGCCACGAGCTGTTCCTCGCTCTGGTGGTGGTATCACCGCCTGCGACTGGGTTTTACTTAAAAAAACGACGTGCGCGGACTACGAAGGGCAAGCGGAGGAGGCCTTCCAGGCCCTGGCCCGCTTCCCGTCCCTGCGGCCCACGGGCGACCAGAATGACCCCTGTCACCCGCCCCAGCGACCCGAGCTCCACGCCTCACTTCAGCACAACCCCTCGAGATACGCTCCCCAGGAACGAACGTCCGAGCCTGAAAAAAACACCGCCCGGGGCGGCAGAAACCGTAGCGTGACGTCAGGGCTTAGCTCGCTGCGCCTCGGGCCTGGCGGAGCGGGAGAGCCTGATGCGGGCCAGGCCGGAGACGAACAGCCAGTGGGGACCCAGGACAACAGATCCGCCGGGGAAGCGGGCGCGCCAAGGTCACGGAGCGGCTCAAAACCCGGGCCCGGAGGCGCCCGAGTGTCACCGCACCCGCCCGGGCGCTCCAGCTCCTCGGCCCCCGGCCACGCCGCCCTCACCCGCTGTCAAAGGCCGACACCCGCTGTCACCTGCCACCGCTGCCCTAGCGACCGCCGCGATCGCCCTCTACACCCCGGCTGCTCGCGACCGGAAGAGTAGGGCCAGCACCGGAAGGGCAAGACGGTGCCGCGGAGCACCACGGGATCGAGGAAGCCCCGCCCACACTCGTCGGGCCGAGATCGCGGCCTCGCAACTGTCGCGAAAGGCCGGGCGGGCCACGCTGCTTTGTGGCAGGCGCTGGCGACTACGCTTTCCGGCGGGAGGGTAGAAGCGGAAGGTAGTCAGTGGAGGCGTGAGTTTGCCACAGGGTGCTGCGAGGGTGTTCCTCGTACGGTGGGTCTCCGTTGCGACGTCGCCAGCCAGACTCAGCATGCCGGGCGTGAAGCTGACCACCCAGGCCTACTGCAAGATGGTACTACACGGCGCCAAGTACCCGCACTGCGCCGTCAACGGGCTTCTGGTGGCCGAGAGGCAGAGGCCACGCAAGGAGCACCCGCCGGGCGCAGGCACCCATACTCTCTTCGTGGACTGCATCCCGCTTTTCCACGGCACGCTGGCCCTAGCGCCCATGCTGGAGGTGGCGCTCACTCTGGTAAGCTCGGGGTCACGCGGGATTCTGGGCTGGGCGAAGTCAAGTGCCCTTCCTTCGAGAAGCGTCCCCTCCCGGGTAGGCAGCGTAGCGTGCTCTCAAGGTTCTGTGCAATTTACCAAGAAACCGAGTGTGATGTGCATTCTTCACACCAAGACTCGGGATGTGGAGGCAGGTGGATCTCTATGAGTTCGAAGTCAGCCTGGTCTACGTAGGAAGACCTGTGATAGTTACCGTTACATTTAAAGTTTAAACTTATTATGCTTGAGAGACCAAAAAGGAAAAAAAAATAGCCTCTAGTATGTACAGGCTGTACCCTGTCATCCAACTTGCTTTTTTTTCCCCAGACGTTGAAGACCGTTTTTAAAATTGACTGAACTTGTAGAATTTGCTGTTCCAGCAAGATTGTCGGTCTTAAGACTATTTGTGGTTTTGTAATCAAACTTGCTTTCTCTGCTCAAAAGACAATTGCAAGACCCAAAATTATAATTTTGTGGTTTCTGCCTTTATAAGCCCTGGGCTGATAATGGCTACGTGCTGCATCTTGGGAATCCTCTCAGGTGCAGCCCTGATGATGCCAGGTACAAATGAGTCCTGGTGCCAGTATCGGAATAAAAAGCCTCGTCTTAATTAAAATTTATTCATGAGTGACCCCATACCCATAACAGTCTGTCTCAAAAAAGTAAATAAACAAAAGGTGAAGTACACGGTAGCCCCTCCCCTTAAGAGACTCTCACCAGCCTGAGCATGGCAGGCATGACCCTGGCAGGCTCTGCCCTCCTCTCCCATTCCCTCTGCCTTGCTTAAAAACGGTTAGATTGCCTGGTGTGGTGGCACAGGCCTTTAATCCCAGCACTCGGGAGGCCCAGGAATCTCTGTGAGCCAGGCTGGTCTACAGAGTGAGTTCCAGGATAGCCAGGACTAAACAGGAAACCTTGTCTCAAAGAAAAAAAGAGAACAAAACAAATGGCTAGCCACCAAGGTCTGTTCCCTTATTTGGCCACTTCCTCCTTCTGAGGCTGATTACCAAAGTGTTGTTAATTAGGCTCACACTTCACCAAGATCTAGCTATCAAAGTATTAACTACGTCCAGCAATCAGAAGCCCCCTTTGGTTCACCTAATTAACATGCCCAGTTAAAGTTAAACACCTCATCCTAACACTGTTTCCCCCTGTACCTTTATAAAGCGCCATTTTCCTATGGGCCCCTGTCTATCCAGAGGCAGTCCTTTGTCCCCTCCAGGACGACTATCTCTACCCCCTCTCCCTTGTTCCCTTCCTCTTCTCCCTCATCCTCTATCTCCTGTTTTTGTCTTTTGTTCCCTGTCCTCTGTCCCTCTGGGGCAAATAAATCTCCTTTATGCTGAGAACTGGGTCTTGGGGGTCTTGAGCGATACCATTCACTTTCACAACTTACACTCTGATCACCAACGCTCAGTACAGCTTCATTTACATCTCAGAATGAGCTCTGAAGATAAAATATGAGCTGGCAGGGCTGAGGTGCCAATCCTGTCTCCCCAGGTAAAATGAATTCATTGAGACGGAGATTTGTGATGTATGTAGTTCAGGCTAGCCTTGGGCTCTCAACACTCTTCCTGCTCCAGGTTCCTGAGAACTGGGACGTGCATTAGCATACCTTATCTATTTTATTTTTGTGGTTTTTGGAACAGTGTTTCACTTTTTTTTTTTTTTTGTTTTTTTGTTTTTCGAGACAGGGTTTCTCTGTGTAGCTTTGCGCCTGTCCTGGAACTCACTTGGTAGCCCAGGCTGGCCTCAAACTCACAGAGATCCGCCTGCCTCTGCCTCCCGAGTGCTGGGATTAAAGGCGTGCGCCACCACCGCCCGGCCGTGTTTCACTTTTGTAGCCTTGGCTGTCTGGAACCTCTATGTAGACCAAGCTGGCCTCCAAAATACAGAAATCAGCCTGACGCAGTCTCCTGAGTGCTGGGATTAAAGGTGTGCCCCACCAGCCCAGCTCCTCTTAATTTGCATCACAACACCAAAGGAAGCTCGTGACTAATTACAAGTGCCTTTAGGCGAATTAAGTTTATTAGCACATTTTTTGAGTGTCTTAAAGAATCATGGGGGAGGAGGCAAATATGTGGGTGATATTTATAAACTCAAGAATTTTAGTTCCTAGAGAAGTGTGCTTTTGGTGCCTGAAGTATCATTGAGGATTCCTGTGCATGTCCCAGGCCAGTCTTGTTCTGTTAGCAACGAAGTTACAGGTGGCTGAATCTGAACCTGGCAGGGCCCTGCCTTCTATAGTCCAGCAGGTTTCTCCGTTTCTCACTGAGTGTGACTTGCAGTGAGCTAACAAGCTCTATACAGAGGAAACAGCCACTAATAGAGAGGTTGGGGAGGTGGCTCAGTGGTTAAGAGCACTTACTGCTCTTGAGAGGACCAGTTAGTTCCTAACACTCAAGTCAGATACCTACAACAGCCTGTAACTATCTCCAGATCTGACTCTTTTTTTTTTTTTTTTTTTTTTTTGGTTTTTTGAGACAGGGTTTCCCTGTGTAGCTTTGCGCCTTTTCCTGGATCTCGCTCTGTAGACCAGGCTGGCCTCGAACTCACAAAGATCCACCTGCCTCTGCCTCCCGAGTGCTGGGATTAAAGGCGTGCGCCACCACCGCCCGGCCAGATCTGACTCTTTTTAATGATTTCTTTCTTTTTGTTTATGTGCATTGGAGTTTTGCCTATATGAGAGTGTTGGATCCCCTGGAACTGGAGTTACTAGCTGTGAACTGCCGTGTGGGTGCTGGGAATTGAATCCGGGTCCTCTGGAAGAGCAGCCAGTGCTCTTAACCACTGAACTATCTCTTCAGCCCCCTCTGACTCCCTCTTATGGCTTTTGTGGGCACTGCACTCAAGTGCCCATTTAGAGAGGCAGGTGGAGGATCTCTATGAGTTTGATACCAGCCTGGTCTACAGAGCTAGTTCCAGGACAACCAGAGCTACAATAGTGAGAGCATGTCTCAAAAATAATAGTAATAATAATAATAGTAATTACATCAAAAGTAAGATTTTTTTTTCCCCCTTAAAGTCAGTTTATCTAAGCCTGGGGGGGCTAGGATGGCCAGGACATTCTAGCCAGCCTGTCACCCCAGGCTATGTGACCTGCCCTGAGGCTTTCAGGCACTGGGAGGCTCTGCCTCTCTCTATCTCCACCTCAAGCCCAGACCCACTTTTCAATGTTCATTCAACGTTCAGTACCAGGAATTCTTTGACTGTCTCAGATTCTTTGTGTATCAACTGCTGTGACCACTCTTTAACACTGTCTGTCCTCTGTGGTGTCCCTTAAACAATGTGGCACTGCTGAATTCCCAGCACAAAATTAGTAGTTCTAGGGCCTCAGCTCCATTGTGATGAATTCTGCAGCCTGTGGACTGTCCTCCCTCGGGCTCTGGGTTGACTCCATCCCTTCCTCTCCTGCCAGCCTCTAGTCTCAGATGATGCTCACCTCTGCAGCAGGCTGCAGACTCTACTTGAAGACCTGGAGTCTGGCAGTACCTCTCCAGACTGGTGTTCTGTCTGTCCCCAGGATGTGGCCCCATGCCCATGGGAGCAGTACAGTCCCCATATGCCCACTCTTCCCAAACACCCTGCCCCCTAGTGTTCCCACTACTCTTTCTTCCTGCACGTGCTCCCCCCAAGTGTCCACTCCTGTTCCTCCTGCACATGCCCTCTGTCCTGAGTGCCCCCCCCAGTGTCCTCACTCCTGTTCCTCCTGCACACGCCCTCTGTCCTGAGTGTCCCCCCCCCAGTGTCCTCACTCCTGTTCCTCCTGCACACGCCCTCTGTCCTGAGTGTCCCCCCCCAGTGTCCTCCTGTTCCTCCTGCACACGCCCTCTGTCCTGAGTGCCCCCCCCCAGTGTCCTCACTCCTGTTCCTCCTGCACACACCCTCTGTCCTGAGTGTCCCCCCCCCAGTGTCCTCACTCCTGTTCCTCCTGCACACGCCCTCTGTCCTGAGTGTCCCCCCCGCAGTGTCCTCACTCCTGTTCCTCCTGCACACGCCCTCTGTCCTGAGTGCCCCCCCCCCACCCTAGGACTGTCTCCTCAACCCCCACTGCAGCTATTAAGTTTCTTAAATTTGTGCTGTTTACTTTTCAACTATGCAGCCTTGCACGCTGAAGGATGTGAGAAGTCTCTGGGTTTGGAGCCTGCCACTGTCAAAATGGGATTGTGGAAGTTTTGTTTTTGTTTTTTTTTTTTTTTTTTTTTTTTTTTTGGTTTTTCGAGACAGGGTTTCTCTGTGTAGCTTTGCGCCTTTCCTGGGACTCACTTGGTAGCCCAGGCTGGCCTCGAACTCACAGAGATCCACCTGGCTCTGCCTCCCGAGTGCTGGGATTAAAGGCGTGCACCACCACCGCCCGGCGGACTGTGGACGTTTTAACAGCAGCAGAATCTAAGCTATGTGGGTGAGGCCCTGTCATGCTGGCTCCCACTGCTGGGGAGCTCACCCTGGAATGATTGTTGAACGTGGGAAAGCTCAGCTAGCCGTTTCTTAACATGTGGACTGCCAGAGGGCAACATGAGATTCCTTTGAAGGGATTTCTATTTTTATTTTCCATTTAAAAAAATCCTTGCATTTCTGGGTGCTTTTCATTTGTTTAAGTACTTATGCCTATTATTTATCCTCAACCCTTTGACGTAGGCAATGAGGGAATTACCTCTAATAGCAAAAAGCCCATAAAAACGTTGGTAGGAAAATTAGCATAACCCTGTTTCTCTAAGCCCCTTGTCTTTTACCCCGCCTTGATTTCTGCTGCTGTGGACAGTTCTCTGTACAGTCTGCTCAGGTGACTTTCTTGCTCACCATGATGTGATTTCAGGCCAGTGTTCTTCCTGCTATCTCCGTTCCATGCTTCACAGCTGTTGTCCCATCTGCCCTGGGTGTTTCCTCAGCATAACCTCCCACCCCTTTTCCCTGCTCATTAGCCTCCCAAGCTTCTCTTCCAAGGAGAAGTCACAGCTGACCTGAAAAGGAAACTCAGCCAGG